ACACATACAAATTTGAAAGCTCAAATTTTGATGATGAGCTGTGAACACTATTACTGATTGGCTCAGCTAAAAAAAAAGTCCGTTTCTAAAACTAAAGTATGATTGGTCAAAAAAATGACCGACCTGTCCCTTTAAATCAATTTGTACACAAGGAATATTATGTGCCATAATGTGCAAATGACCTGAATCAAATATTGCAAACTCTAATTAAACTTTTTTGTTGCCAGGGGAAGATTGTGAAAAAGAAAGTGATGGATGTGAATTTAAACCATGTGACCCATTGCAGACATGTACAGATAAACAAGGAGAAGTGGGTGATTCTGAATTTGGCTACACATGTTCTGATTGTCCCACTGGTTACAGTAATGATAATCCTCTAAAATGTCAAGGTAAAATATATTTTGACTTCAAACTTACAATCCTTATTTTTCTCATATAATATCTAAACGTAAAAGTTTAAATCACTCCAGTGTTTAATATTATTCACAACTAAATGAATATTTCAATCCTGTACCACTACTTGTAGTATAGTGCTGGGTAGCGCCAATCATGTCTCGATACGATAAGTAGTGCGATAAAAAGGTCACGATAAGATACATATCTCAACTAAATGGGGCAATGGGATGAAATTTAGCACTTTACCTTCTAAGTTTCAATATTTATTAATTTATAACTGTGATATTTGGTTATGTAGTTGATAGAAGTGGTTAACATCCACTGTCTTATAAAATAGTTACCAATAATTGCAGTCATGTCAAGTGATTCTATTTGACTTGTAAAAAATCCCCATATTTTTAGAATAAGAAGTATTGACAAAACTTAAGTGTCAATACATGACTTAATAATACGAGGTGGCATGCTATCGCATGTTATATCGCGATATATATTGCTTCATCGATATATCGTGCCAACACTATTAGCTCCAGTATATACTTTTGATTATCGGTATTGATAAATGTATAGGTGCAACAACCAATACTGTATAAATACAGTAGGCTAAAATGCATCTACCAGATTTATATATAGAGTATTTTTGAAGTATATATAATGCATATTAATGAAACTCTTATTTATTATCAGATATTGATGAATGTACAGATACCACTATTTGTGGTACTGGTGGTACATGTAGTAATATACCAGGGTCCTACAAATGTACTTGCAGTGCTGGTTACAGATTAGTTGGTCAGAAGTGTCAAGGTATTGCACGTTTTATTTTTTTTTACTCGACACTTTATGATCCTGAATAGGAATTGAAAATTTATCAAAACTTAATATCCCGGAATTTTGCATTATTTTGTATTTAGGAAAATCTTAATTAATAAGGCATTCTGTTTTTTACTTAGGTCGAAAATTTTTTTTTTCCCAAAACTAGTTCGTTACTCTCTTTGGAAGCTGTTAAAAAACTACAGGATTTATGCAAAATAAATACATGCTTAATTAATAATACTCTCAGTTTTTAATTAACCCTTTTAAAACAAATTCAGTTTGATTAAATAAATACATAGAAATAAATAGCATATTTAAAAAATATTTTTATGTGTGATTACTGTTTTGATTATGAAAATTCTGCAAACTGCCCCTTTAATGAAGTGTTTAAATGTTTTCACAGAAAATTCAAATTTAAGGATTTGTGTTTGTATTAAAATGAATTTTGATTGTAGATATTGATGAATGTTTGGACAGAACTCATAATTGTGAACAAATTTGTAAAAATACAGATGGATCATTTGAATGTGAATGTGAGCCAGGTTTTGTCCAAAATGATAATAAGTGTACACAAAATACAGGTGAGTAAAAATAATTACTTACATCTAAACAAAACTTTTATGTAAAAGTTTGTTAAAGGCTTAATTTGAGCTGTTGTGAGCTCTATTTTGTGCACAGAGCAGCAGATCAATGTCCTTGAATCACAAGCATCAATCAGTGGTATAGCAGAGGTCAGATAACGAATCATTTACTGTCATCCAGAATCATTTCTTCAGCAAACACATCAATGGAAAACAAGATTTAGGATTTCTAAATACTTCTTCAACGGAACTGGTTTCTGAAAATATTGTTGCCAAGTTCGTTGATCAAACCTCTAACAACAAGTCCAAGTTATCTAAAAAAAAAAAACACCCAGAACATGATTATCTTAACTGCCATTATTTTTTAAATCTGACCAAAAATAGTTAATCTCTTTATTAAGATCAGCAAATCACAGGCATCATAAAGGGTCAGATGTGCCATTTTAGGGGGTTGATTTTAATCTTGAATATATGTAAATGGTCTTCACATGTACTTGAAATGTACGAAAATCTCATAATTACTTTAATAATATCTCAAACTAGTAATTTTACACACTATTTCAATACATGTATGACTTTTCTATCACAGAGTATCTTAAATTGAGGGTCTGCTTTTTAACATTCAAATGCAGATAATTCTGGACATACATGGATATGAAGACTCAAATTTCGACGGTGAGCTGTAAAAAATTCCGGTTTCTGAGACTAATTTATGATTGGTCAAAAAACTGGCCTACCTGTCCCTTTAATCAGTGTGGAAATCACAAGAAAACATTTTAGTTTTACAAATTTCCCATAGTTTTTTCTATTAAAATTTTAACAATTATTTTTTTTTTGTGTGATATTTTCGTCATCATTGTTTCATGCTATTTTCTTTCAGCTTTCATGAAATTGATGAAGCAGCTTCAATTTTTATACGCCCACATTAAATGTCGAGCGTATATTTTCGTCACCCATGTCCGTCCGTCCATCCGTCATCCACAATTGCTCGTAAGCACTCTAGAAGGCACAATTCTTGACTGATTTTGATGAAACTTAGTGCGATTGTTTGTTAGGATAAACCCTAATGAAAATCTGAAAATTGGAAAATATTTAGTATGAGTTATTGCCTTTGTTCTTAAAATGATCGTAAACACTCTAGATGGTGCAATTCTTGACAGAGTTTGATGAAACTTGGTGTGAGTGTTTGTGATCGCCCAAGGATAAACTCTATTTAAAATAAAAAATATCGAAATATAATTAGTATGAGTTATTGCCCTTGTTCTTTGAAACGTGTTCAATTTTAGCTTGTAAACACTCTAGAAGGCACAATTTTTGACGGATTTAGATGAAACTTGGTATGAGTGTTATTAATCACCACATGATGAACCATATTGAAAATCAGAAAAATTGAAAAATAATTAGTATGAGTTATTCCCCTTGTTCTTGAAAACGCTTTCTAGTTTTAGCCTGTAAGCTTTCTAGAAGGCCCAATTCTTGACAGACTTTAACGAAACCTGGTAATATTATGCAAAGAAGTGTAAGACTGAAGGTTGAATATTTCATACTGTTAATTGTTACTGTACTGCCAAATATTTTTGTTTAAAGTCAAAGCTGCTAGTGGGTGTATATTACCTTGCCTGGCAAGCTATCTTTGAAGACAAGGCAGTAGTATCTGTACAATATTTTAGGTCTGATCAAAAGATGAATTTCAAATGATAATATTACACCTTAGAAATGTACTTTTTGCAGATAATTGTCAGACACAGACTAATTGTGAATATGGTTGTCACGATGAAAAGTGTTTTTGTCCTTCAACTAAAGAAGTCGTAAATGATGTAAATTGCAAAGGTAATTAATCTTAATCAACCTCATTTTACACTTTCAATACTAGCATAGATTTAACATGTCACTAGGGCGATTATCGACCATCAAAATTATATTTTCTCCTGTTTACCCGTTAACAGGTCATTCTTTCAGTAGTTACTTTCAACCAACCTAATCACTAGTTTCCCTTCGGCACATAACTTACCCACAATAACCTATAATAACTGATCAAAGCAATAATATACTTCTATAACAAAAAAATAACCCATGGAAATAAAAACATGATTTTTATTTAATATTTAAGATTAAGATTTCTCACATACAATAATCTGATTATTAATCGATTATTGATCAGTATTATGCCGTCAATAATCAATTACAATTTGGTAATCAATACCAGCCCTACTGGTCACATAGTTATCTGACATATACCAGAGAAACTGAAACTTGCAAAACAACTGTTTCCATGTTGATACAATTATATCTTGTTTTGATTTTTCAAAGGATTAATATTCAGTTTTTGATGTTTTGATTCAAATATTTAACCACATCTATGATCTGAAAAAATTTTCTTTCAACTAGTATTCAGTTGTTTCAAATTAAGCTAATGAAAAACACTGTTAAATATGGACTGAAAATACAAGTCAACTAAAATCTAAATATTTTCAAGTTCCCACATGGGAAAAAAACATAATGAAACATCTAGATCTACAATTTTATCAGATTGAATCTTCATGATAAATTACCCTGCAATCATTGGCAAAGTTTCTTGGACTCGTTTTCTCAAACATCCTGATTTAAGTTTTAGATTTGAATTTTGTAAGGATCATAAATATGAATGGATTTGACTACTTAAAGGTATATACCACCTAAAATTATAATTTTTAAACTTGGTTAAAATGAGTCTTTGTTCATCAGCGGACTTAATTATACCACAGAATCCCTAAATCCATAAAACAACGTAAATATTCAGTAAACTAAACAACAGAATCCCTCTATAATCCAATAAATCCATAAAAACTAAGTAATAATTCAATAAACTAAGTAATTTGGACACATCATTAGTTTCAATAATTATTTAGTTTAATGGATATATCGTCTTATATAGAGATTCTCTTCTTTGGTCGTGACACCTGGTAGGTCTAACTAATGCATATATACACTTGTTGACCGAGTTTGAGACTTTAATGTCCATTCCAAGAGGTGGTATCCCTTTAACAATAGATACAGGCCCCATGTGCATCATTGTGGAACTCATTCAAATTCCTGACAATCAAAATCAAAAATAGACTAATGGAGCTCTCCTGAATTTCCACTTATTTCTTTCAATGCTTATTGTCGCAGAAGACTGAATAATCCTGTCTCCCTTTTATTTTAGATATTAACGAATGTAACGTGAATATCTGTCAACATAAATGTACTGATAAAGTCCCTGGGTTTACATGCAGTTGTCAAGATGGATTCAAGCTTGCAGCCGATGGTGTGTCTTGTGAAGGTATTTTAAAATATTATTTTTGCTGTTGACAACAACTTTTTAGTATCGGCTGCCGTGAAATTTTCTGCTGTGTGGTGGCGCAACTCTGTCGCCAGGAATGAATTTGTGCTGGGGCTCAGATTTTGTACACAGAAATTTGCAGAATCAAAGGCCTATATCTTTTTGATTTTGTACAAAGACACTGTAAATGAATCAATCTCTGCTGAACTGAAGAAGGTTTTGCTGGGGCTCAATTCTCACTTGCTAGGGTCTCCAGCCCCCAAATTATGTTCCATTTAGACAACTAATAATGAAATAAATCGAAAGTAGAGGCGTTCTAATGATTGAGAAAAAATACCCGCCGACAAATTTAATATTTCAATGGTGTTTTTTTTAATTTCTAAATACACAGTGTATTTAATTACATTATTTCTAATTTAGAAATATGTCTTTTAAACACGGTTTGGTTATTAATTTTTTATATGAAAATGTGGCTAGATTATCAATCTCTATTTTAGTCATTTAGTGAACAAGTAATCTATTTGTAGCTTTTTCAATCTGATTTCAGTAAATTTGATCCCTAAGCATTTCCACATCTTCACACAATCTTAGCACTCAAGAGTACTTGATTCATTCGTTAGAGACATCAATTAATCAAACAATAAGCATGATTTGATCCAGAAAAATAAACAAAGACAACTTTAAAATGGCCACCAAACAGTACAGTGGTGGTGCCAGCCTTCCAAGATTTTGGGGTACACATAGGGGGCAGATTGACTCAATGGGGGGACAACTGCTGAGGCTACTCTGATGTCATTGTTGCAAGCCTCTCATAGAGCGCCTTAGAGAGTTCTCTCAAGAAAATTTTAGATAAAATGAATTGATTTTGTGCATTCTGACACATATTTTGGATAAAAAAGGTAGACATTTAGATTTGTTGAAAATAAAGTGGGGTTACATTTGGGGTGGCAAACCACTTTCTAGATGGCGCTGCCATTGGCATGTATTTATTGTGAATAGGGAACTTACCAAAACCATGACAGTGAGATATATACATTAATCCAGAGATATACTTTGTGACAACCTTGATTTAAGACATACGAATATCCATGAGAAATATTTGATTTCAGCCTGTACTGGACTCAGCTGGGGTACGGAATGTGCCCAGACATGTTCTTGTAATGGAAGAGGAAGTTGTGACCCTGTATTTGGCTGCAAGTGTAATTCTATGTGGACAGGCCAAGATTGTACTACAGATGTTGATGAATGTGAAGCTAATCCTAATATTTGTCCTACTGGTTTGCTGTGTAGAAACCTACCAGGTTCATATGAATGTTATTGCCTTGATGGATATGAAAAAGTCAATGATCAGTGTAAAGGTAAGAGAACAAACAAAGAACTATTTATTTTTTGACAAGCATAACATTCTAAATGTAAATTCTTGACTGTCTTGTCTTCCAGCTGACCATACCATGGCCATAATATTTTTGTGATTAATCATATCAACTGGGACGTATTCAGAGCACCATGCACTTGCAGCTATCTGAGATAAGAACAATCATGCATTAGAATCAAAATGTAGTCCTGATTCTCCAGCAATTCCTCACCAAAAACATACTTTCAAAAATTAAATTGTCATCATTTCCTGAATGTTATTACTATTTCATGTTGAGAATTTTTATCTACTTTATTTCTTATATTATCCTTAAAGTCAAGTCCTTAAAGGGACAGGTTCGCTATTTTTATTAGGGGTTGATTTGAGTCTTGAATATTTGTAAATAGTCTTCAGAAGTACTAGAAATGTACGGAAATTGAATTATTCCTTCAAAATACCTCAAACTTGGCAATTCACTTTCTATTTCTATATATGTCTTTTCTATATATGACAGTGTCATTTTATCTTTCAAACGCAGATAATTCTGGATACACATGTATTTGAAGGCTCAAATTTTGACTAAAAAAGCTAAAACCTTCTTTGATATGAGACTAATTTCTAATAAGGTTTGATTGGTTAAACAGATAACAAACCTGTCTCTTTAATATCCATGAGATTATAGATAGTGGTCTGAAAGTGATAAATCATGAAAACTGGATGTCAATTCTAAAAGAATATATAGATATCTAAAATTGAGCTCTGTCAGGTGGTAACGTGCCATTATCTTTAAAGTCACAGTGTGTGTAGTTGTATTTTATATATATTTTGAATCATCATATCATAATTTGGATTTCAAAACTGATTTATAACTAACTGATATTGACCAAATTTCGAAATTTTGTTTTCAAAAACAAATACAGTGTACTCTGTTTTCCGACATCTGAGTATTTGGACATTCTGCGTAATCCGACATCTTTTTCTGGTCCCGATTGATTTCCTTCTTAGACTAGTTTTAAAAAACTCTGAGCACACGCAGTTGTGTAATGACATTTATGAAAAAACCCACTTAAGCTACGATTCCATATACGCGTCATGTGGATCTGTCATGCATCATCCGCCATGTGTTTAAAATCGAAATGGTTGGTTTAAGAGGGTATGATTCCATATATGCGGAAGCGGTTTGCGATTTTTGACGCATCCGGACGCCTTTCCTCGCTGAGATCTCCCAAATGTGACGTATTTTGTGGGGATTCCATGTCTTTTTAATGCACCAAAGCATCCATCTGTCTAGAAGTCCGTGCGTCAAAAGAAAGATAACGCATACGTTTAACGCACATATGGAATCATATTTGACGCATGACGTATCCGCAAGGGCCATTTATGTCCGCATGACGCGTATATGGATTCTTAGCTTAATGCTTTTAAAAAGTGAACAAAAATTAATAAAATTGTGTACAAAAGGAGAAAGAATTTGAACATAGTTCTTGTTATTTTTAATGCAGGTTAATTTTTTCTTTTTAATATTTTGTTCTTTTATCTCCAGACATAAATGAATGTACTCCAGAAATATGTACAGGCAGTAATGAGGTCTGTGTTAATACTGTTGGAAGCTATACTTGTGATTGTGCTTCAGGCTTTATACGAAATAACGGCAAATGTACAGGTAATATTTTATGGATAGTAAAGGCATGTCTCTATTTGACATGATATCATGATGTTCACATAAATTTTGAATACCATATCCTTATCAGCAGGGCTCCACAACCCACCTCCTTCACCCCTGTTACCCCTCCAACTCTTGCTTCAAACCTGCTTTTCAGGCTTGAGGCTTTTGAGCAATATTAATGAACTCTGGATTAAAGGGGTATTCCGCTATTTTGTGAAAAGTTTTCATTATCAAAAACGTTGTAAATTAGGTTAATTAAAAACTTGGAGTACAAATTGTTAATTAAGCAGTTTGACCTAGTTTTGGTGTTCGGATTTATAATGGTTCGATATTATCAGTTGAAACCTTTACAATATGTATTTACTCAAATCCGTACAGTAGTTTTTTGGCAGCTTCCAAAAAGCATAACAAACCTAAACCTTACGTAATGTAAAGGGCACATTTCTCTAGATTTTGGTGTATAGTTTTCACAAATTTAAGCAAAAAAATGTTTTGACATACAAACAAAAGTGGAATGTCCCTTTAGAGTTCTCTCAAAAGTGTTTAACAAGTCACAAAATCATTTTAGAAGATGTTTAAGTCAATTGAGCCAATCAGATCACTTGACATAAAAAAGTTTAAGCTGCAATAAGTACCCTTTTTTTTTTAATTTTTCCTTTTAAAACAAAATAAGTTTGATCAAGAAGATACATAGATATAAATAGCACACTTTAGAAATATTTTCAGGTATAACTTACAACATTTTTGATAATAAAAATTTGGCATACTGCCCCTTTAAATTCATTGAAGAACACAAACTATTTGTTTGTTAAATGGAGATTACATATGTGATATATATGAATTATTTAATTTGTTTATTTTAATACTTGTAGATATTGATGAATGTTCAAGTGGTATTCATGGCTGTGAACAAACATGTAAAAACAATGAAGGAAGTTTCAATTGTCTCTGTCAACTAGGCTTTCGAATCAAAAATGATAGAAAAAGTTGTGAAAATGGTAACTATAATTTTGTTATACCTATTATTATTCAATTCTATTCTGTACATATAGCTGAGTTAACATAGGGGTATATGGTATACAGTATTCGCTGTACGCTATACATGCATGCCGAGTCTCATAGAGTAACAAGCGCGCCCTACTCGGTCCTTTGGCGCCAATAAATTCGAAACTTCAAACGAAGATGATTTGGTTCTACTACTACCAGCAGATGTTTAAGAGGCAAATGGATAAAAATATATCACATAGCAGGGTCATCTGTCAAGCTTTTTTGATGAGTGTGTATTTGTAATCATTGTAATGTATGAAGGCATGTGTTTTGAAATTAAAATGAAATGGGTACAAAGGAGTCCTATTGTTTCTAATTTACCATATTCTACGCAATAAATTGCAGCTGCCAAAGACGAACATGACGTTTTACGCTGCTTGAAAATCCAACTTACACTATTCCTACTATACCCTATAATTATATTCTATTATACGCAGGTATATAGCGTTTTCAATAAGTGCCTTGTTATGTGACCAGGTATTATGAAATTACCTTGTTCGATTTAAGGTATCCACTTGCCTTTCCAAACGTGCACCATATACCCGAATTTACAATTATGAAAGGGATTGTAAAGAGGTTTTCTAAATTTCTATAAACTTTCACCATTTTCTGATTGGTGTATTGACATTCTCACTGTGAGTATGTTAATCACATCATTGAAGTGACAACTATTCCAATGTTGCATTGCTCCAAGGATTTAAATTCTAAAAAGTGATATGAACATCTGATATTGAGATGACTATATTTCTGAACAATTTTTTTCTTGGTTTGGTTTTTTTTCCTACCTTCAATATCAATTAGCTTTGCTTGAAAAAAAAAATACCTTTATCCCTTTTGAAAAGTATAATCATCATCAAAAACTTCCATTATTAACAAAAATATATGATTTTACATTGAGAAAGTAAAAAAATCCGGATCAATTCTGGCTTTTGTTAGATTTCTTTTCTTTCCTATCTTTTAAACAAATTTTGGTATTTTTTTCCTTTGTGCCTAACAGGAAAAAAAATTGGTCTGGAATTATAGTTGAATTTTCTTCAAATTTGGTTGCATGATAATATTCTTTATTTGCTCTGACTGGACTTTGCCATTTTGTTTTAGACCCTAGTAGAGATCCATGCGCTGATTTTCCTCCAACCTGTCAATATGGATGTAAATTAGAAAACGATCAACCTGTTTGTTTTTGTCAAAAGGGCTATGTACTTGGAGCTGATGGAAATACTTGTGTTGGTAAGTTATTTTTGTTAAGTTCTAGTGTTACCTGGTTAATCTCGGTTAATTACTAAAGATTATAAAAGGGGTCAAAACCGCATTTGCGGCGGTAACTCACCGTTAACTAAACTAGAGTAAGTGTAAATGAATACCTAGGAAAATTTTGGCTAGTTCCCCGCGAATTGTCTCAATTATTCAGTCAATAAAGATGTTTGTTTACTAAACAAAACAGCTTAAAGACTCATACAGTGATGAATTTTCTGTCAAAATTGCTCTCTTTTTACTTCTTTTAAAATTGACGGTTAACTGATTATCTCAAATCAGACACGGTTACCCATGATATACTTCCCGAAATCGGTTAACTGATTAACCGTTTCAACACTATTAAGTTCACTTAAGTGAATTTATATTTGATTTGATTTTATCCCCCAATATATTAAGATATGAATAACTTCAGATAGTGTATTCAGACACAATAACTATCTTAAAACTTTTTCTTTTTATTACCTTTTTCATTTTCCTTGATTGATTGCATTACCCCCCTCTCAACTACCCTACATCCTTACTATATTTCTATTTTCATACGCCCACATGGAAATGTGGAAGTATATTGTAGTATGGTTTCAGAGTTATTGGACTTGGCTTGTTGGAAAGATAGAGGTTACAGTTTTCTGATTTCCATGAAACTTGGTATGCGTGTATATATTGATGAGATTTCGATCAAGTTTGAATTTGGAAACAATCGGATGCACGTTTTTGGTTTTTGCACCTTGACTTCAATTTCTAGGCACGATACGAGACCTTGTTCATGTTTGAATTTGATGAACTTTTTAGAGGTTTTGCCTGACTTATGAATACTTTTATGAATACTTTTAAGATTATTTGAAAATTCATTATTAAGCCACTAAATATTTTGGTAGTGGGCGTATGTTACCTTGCCTGGCAAGCTGCAAAATAAGTAGAAAATCAACTCTAAAAAATGCTTTTTTTGGATTGATTTTCTCTGGGTTCTCATTTTTGGAATCTATGTATAACATCTGATATGATAGCAATTAAAAAATTTCAGAGTACGAAAATTTGTTGCACACTTTTTTCGGCTGAATTTTGCAATTTGTCAGAGAACAAGGCTTGACTGAATAGAACGACTTAAATTATATTTGTTTGAAAATGTCATGCCAGACTCAAAAGAGCCTCATTACCGCCCGAAAATTTGAACACATTAGGGTAGTTACTTCCAGGTTCAGAACCATTAGTCTAAATGAAAGAGTTAAAACTAAATGTAATAGTAAAAAAAACTGAAAATCAGACTTTGCAAGAAAAAAAATTCTATAATACAAGAATTAGTCCTTTGTAAAAAAAAAATCAAGAACGATTTCATAATGTAGACAAATTGATCAATTTGTGAACAAATTCAAGAAGTTGGATCCTTTTTTATTGATCCTTGAACATTATGAAATAATGTTGTAGGATGTCCTAGGTTCTTATCTTCTAACATTGATTCTAAGACATCCTAGAGCTAAGATCATTTCAAGAATACATGGCCTGGTGCATTTATAATGATTTTTTTAAAAATAATATTTGTAGATATCAATGAATGTGATGGAAATCATGGTTGTTCTGATGAATGTGTCAATACTCCTGGTTCTTTTAAATGTACATGTGCTCAGTATAAAAAACTCGAAAATGATCAAAAAACTTGCAGAGGTATGTGTATTGAATTCATTACTTTAGCCTGCTTGCATTCCAGGCTGAAAATTTTCAGGTCCATGAAATATAGGACCTTAAACAAGTGATTTTAAAAAGAGGTCATGTTTATGTGGCAATTAAAGTGATACTACGTCTTAGAATGAATAAAAAATTTAATTTCTCAAGAATGGTCAATATGAGTATATATTCATCAGTGAACTTTCCTGGTGTCATAAAGTTACAACAGAATCCCTGTAAAATCTGGAAAATTGGAAAATTCATAAAACTAAGTAATTATTGAAAAACATTTCATTTTAATATTAAGTGTTTTTCAATAGTTAATTGCATATTTATGGATAATTACTAAGTTTTTTGGATTTATCAGATTATATAAGGATCCTGTTATGTTATTTATGACACCAGATATATCTACTGATGAATATATGCTCTTATTGGCCAAGTTTAAAAATTTTAAATTTTATGTTCATTTAAGTATTATTCCTTTGATAAAATTTTCCCAACTCGCACTATGAACCTAGGAACACCACTGTTGTGAAATGTGGTGGAAAACATGAACTTCATGGATGTGATTACTGATTTTCAAAATGGAGGAACTATATGGAGTATGCCACAAATTTAGTTATGGTTGTATTTTATTTTTGTAGACTGTTCAGAGAATGAATGGGGTACAAGTTGTGAAAACACCTGTGAGTGTAGTACTATTGGAGGTGAAGGGTGTGTTAAAGAGACTGGTTGTAAATGTAAAACTGGTTGGATCGGTGATAAATGTGATCAAGATCGAAATGAATGTCTTACTGTTGGTCAATGTACAATAACTGGTTCAGTTTGTGTCAATACGCCTGGTTCATATCAATGTAATTGTAAGGATGGTTATCAACTTTCAGCTGACAAATCAAAATGTGAAGGTGAGTTGAATTTCTGAGATACAATAGGATACTCTTTCACAAATATCAATACATTTTCAGTCAGCAGTTGGAAGCCAGAAATACTAAACATGATGGCCATCCATTTAAACACAAATTGTAAAGAGGTTTTCAAATTTTATTTTTTTGTGTATCGGGGACACTTGATAACATCAATTTGCACCATTCCAATTTGTTCCTGCAATTTGACTGAAACTAAGAGTTTCATTAATAAGGAATTTATAATGAAGCATATTTTGCTATTAATGACGTCATAGCAAATACTTAGTTTTAGTGGAATTGTAGTAACCACAGACGTCTGATCGAAAATTGGAATGGTGCAAATTGATGCTATCAGTGTTCCTTATTCACATAAAATTAGAATATCTGTTTACAATCCCAAAAATACACAGTGAATGTCAATATGAAACACTGGCAATAAAATCACTGTATGATTCTTGGTGATTACTTATTGCATCTGTTAAGAAGAAACATTTTAGCAAAAGACAACTTTTATATGGTTATTGAATTACTAGTTATAAAAAAATGAAATGAATGGAGTTTTACTATTCTGCACCATGTGGGCTAACGAAGGCGGACAACGCCATGCAGGGTACAATAAGGGAAATTTTGCCAGGACAGCGGTATTAGCCTTTTTCGATTTCCAACTGTCGAGGGATCTATAACGTGCACAGCCTGTAGCACACGGGGCCTTGATTTATTGTCCCATACGAATGACCAGACGCTTTTTCCATGTCAGTCCCTCTTACCAGAATCAATGACAGGGGGAAACCGGGTTGAAGAATCAGAAGGTATCATCTCGACCTATGCCGGGTAGAAAAAAGCGGAAGGCCCCTTTAATCAGATATATTTGATTTATTTTCAATATGTGAATATGATATACCTTAGATGGCTTTAGTCAGTTAATGTTCAGAGGATATAAAAGTTATTCTGTTGCTTATTTCAGATATAAAAGAGTGTGACTTAACACCGAAAGTATGTGAACAAAAATGCGAAGAAACTGAAGGTAGTTACTATTGTTCCTGTGAGAAAGGTTTTGTAATAAATACAGAAACCCAGAAATGTGAAGGTATGCTAGTCATTCAAGTTCTAACATTTATATTATGTGAAGTCACAGGTTTCTAGCAAGGTCTACAAGGCGCTAGGCACCAGCAAACCTTCTACAGTTCAACTGAGATTGATGAATTTGATGTGTCTCCGTACAAAACCAAAAAAATGAACATTGGATAAAGTGTTTGGCACTCCAAAATCGTGTAATTTTTTTAAAATTTTCATGGTTTTTTAAATTTTCCAAGTAATTAGAACACCTCTACTTTCTATTTATATAAGTATAATCATTTTCATTTTCATCAATAAAAATAAGGAAACCCATTTTTAACAGTAACTTACAATAATTCCTTACTTTTTCTTCACAGATATTGATGAGTGTCAAATTGGAAGAAGCGACTGTACACAAAAATGTCGAAACACTTTTGGCAGTTTTATCTGTGAATGTAAAACAGGTTATCTCATCAACAGTGACAGAAAAACATGTAGAGGTATGTTTATATATAATCTTCTTTTCTAGACAGTCTGTAGCTCAATTTATAAGACTGTTGGAATATTTACATCATTGGCTTAATGCTTTCTTCAAGTGAAATTCCCAATTCCTCTAACAAGGCAAGAGTAAAGTCAATTGATCATGGCCAAGAAAGAAAGAAATTATATAAATTACAAAACTCTTAAATTGAATTATTAATATAAAACACAACGTGAGCGAACAACTACAAAAACAACTTCATCTAATCTGCATAATGCACTCAAAATTAATTTAAAATAAGGGAAACAGGGCGAGAGTGCAAGTGTCTTTAATCAGTCTTAAAGGGACATGTTCACCATCTGTTTGACCAATCGTACCTTAGTCTCAGAAACAGACATTTTTATCTATGCTAAGTAGTAATAGTGTTCACAGCTCACAGTCAAAATTTGAGTCTTCCAATCCATGTGTGTCCAGAATTATCAGCGTTCAAAAGTTAAAATGACGACTTGAGACATTGTCATATATAGAAAAGACAACTATAGAAATAGGGAAGGAAATTCCTAGTTTGAAGTATATTTGAATGGATTATAAATGCGATTTTCGTGCAATTTTAGTAAATCTTAATTGCCAAAATCTTCATGGTGATCTTGAATTAGTCACCTTTCCTCATTATTCCTATTGACCCAGTTGTAGTTGACTATGAATGTGGGAAAGATCAGTGCTGAGGATTATCTTTATGATTGCAAATTATTTGTGAACTTGTTTCTTGACTTCTAATATAAATCTACATATATGAAAGAAGGACATTTTCATTGTTGACTGCTTTGATGGATATGCACTTTAGCTAATAACTTAATTTTTATTTCAGCTGAAAATGAATGTGCGAATGGTAATAGTTGTAAGCAGACTTGTGCTAATATAGAAGGCACCGATACTTGTGGTTGTAATGATGGCTATACATTAGCAGGTAATGGTGAAGATTGTGAAGGTAATAATACTTTTTTTATATCTAAATTTCCATTTATGGAAAACTCTTTCATGCAAAGCAGAATTTCTCCTCATGGCTTTCATCTGTCAACAGTATTCATTGATTTAAAGAGATTCCCCATTTTGTGGGGTTGATTTGAGTTTTCAATATATGTAAATACTATTTACTAGATTGTCTTCAGAAGGACTAGAAATTTATGAAAATCGGATGATTCCTATTTCCATAGAAGTTTATTCTATATATATGGCAGTATCTCAAAAATGACGATGCATGTATTTTTAATTTTCAAAGGTGGATAATTCTGAACACATGTGGATTTGAAGGCTAGCTAAGACATATAGTTACTGACACCACTTACTAAACAAGTAATCTTAGGACTGGTCGATACAGTCTAGCTAGGACATTGACTGAGATACTGACACCAATCACTAAACATGTAATCTGAGGACTGGTTGATACTGTCTAGTTACTGACACCACTCACTAAACAAGTAATCTGAGGACTGGTTGATACAGTCTAGCTAGGACATCGACTGAGCTACTGACACCACTCACTAAACCACTCATTCACTAATTTGATTTGATAGTTTGAACCAATCAAACTACCAACTACCTAGCATCCGCTGGAAGCGAACGTTAACTTGTCATCTACCAACCTACCAAGTTTTGACGTCTTAGTAATCTTAACTATAAATTTTTCTAAAATGACATTTTTTCCAGTGGATAATCCATGTGATCCCAGTCCATGTAAAGGTGGGACATGTACGTCCCCTAATAAACCAGCATTTGTTTGTAGCTGTTCTCCTGGCTCAGAACTGAAAAATGATGGCGTAACTTGTGGAGGTTTGTATTAATTCTTTACCAATAGGCAATTATGTTTTTATCTTAGTGTACGCAAGGACATAGTTACAAAAGATTTTGCATCAAGGAGGAAATTTCAAATGTTAAAAAGCTCACTTCCAAGAAAAAAGGCAGACACCTCTTACTGAACTCCAGGACCTTCAAACTTGCAGAACTGAGAGAGATGTTCAAATCCACTTCAACTCAATTCAGTTGCCTTTAATTTCTGTTAAAGGGAGAGTGTGCAACTAGAGCTTGGTATGGATTACCAAATTGAAATCGATAATTGCCGACATACTACCTATCAATAATTCATAAATAATGTAAATAATTTAATTGAAAAACCCTGTAAATACTAAATTAAAAACATTTTATTATTTTTGCCTCATAGAAGTATATTTTTGCTTTGATCGGTTATTATAGCTTATTGAGGAAAAGTGCTGAAGGGAAACTGTGTGGAAGAGAAAATATCTTTTGCATTTTCTTCACGTTTACTGAACGGCCAGTTAATTTTGTGTTGCTGTAAGATCGCAAATGGTCGCATTCCAAAAAGGCTACCAAACATGAACTATAATACATCAAATAATATCTTGACTGTCTCCTTTTCTTCAATGATTTTTCAATTGTTTTAAGCAATGATAAATAATATTTGGTTTTCCATTAATGTCAAAGAGGAAAGAAAATTATTTTTCGCGCTCCAGCTGGCTCATTTAAAATTTAAGAAAAAATGTTGAATTTCAATTGGTTTTCATTAATTTAAAGGGCTGTTTACACGAGAGTAAAATCCCTGTGTCCACCAAGGTTGTTCACACGTCGAAAACTCAGAGAGTCGACTCAAGGGCTGCACTGGGTTCAGCAGCTTATGCCGACAGATGGCTACAACCACGTCATCGGTCTCCCAGGCTTCACTGAAATTGCCACCTAGCGGACTGTCACGAGTTTCCACGGGTCAAAGTCCAACTCGTGTTAACAGGCCTTAATTGGTTCATCATTGCATGGTAACTGTGCTGAGTATTAAATAAAAATATTTCAAACCATACCAAGTTGCCCTTCCTGGCACTTTAATTTAGTTTAATAAGCAGGCTGAATTTGGAGAAAGTTTATAGCTAAAGGATGAGTTTCTGTAACATTTTTTGAGTAAATTCAGACAAACCATTTGGAAGTGTTTCCAATCCATTATCCATGAATGTATTCTTAATCTAAACAATTTACCTACATTTTGAACGGCTAAGAGAATACAATAAACTAAAATCTGCTTGGAGAATCTAAATCCTGATGCTCATAGACAGAATACCAAAATACACGCTGTTCTTACAAGCTGGATAATCAAAAAAAAATCATAATATATAAATAATCATGATATCCATGACAGGCCTTTGAGGTGATGAAGCTGCTGCTCCAAGGTGCACTAAGTTTCAGGCTGAGGTCTCATGCGTTCCCTCACGTTGTTCATGTCTTCATCCAGGTTTGATGCATCTATCAAGGCCTCCTACCGATTAAACATGGAAACCAGGGAGCTTGGAGCACATCCGTACAAGTATGGCAATCATACTTCTACGGGTAAACATTTACACTATGTTCCCTTTGGCCAAGGCAAACATGACAAACAGTGGCCGCTGGGAACAAGTGTAAACCTAGCAAAATTAACTGGTATTTCTATTTTGAAAAAAAGGTTACCCATCTTAAATACTATAATTGCAGTAATAAATGGGGACTGCCTATTCATCAGCTGAAAAACATTTCAACATTGAGCTGTAGGCTACATCTTTCACAATTTCTCCTCATTTTTTTTGTAGAATGTCCAGAAGGTAAATACGGATCAGGATGTGCAAGTACATGTACATGTGTATCAGCAAATACTAAATCTTGTAATAAAGAAGATGGTACATGTACTTGTAAAGATGGTTGGGAGGGAGCCACATGTAATGATAATGTTGATGAATGTTCTGCATCAGATAAAAATGACTGTGCGAGTAACACAGATTGTAAAGATACAGATGGCTCTTTTATTTGTCAATGTAAAATTGGCTCTGTCAGTGTAAATGGAAACTGCCAAGGTAAGTGTAGTAGCGCGGAATTTGTCCTTTCAAAATCCAACTTTGTAAGTTCACAGTCTATGACAGTCCACAAAGATATAATACTATGAACAGAATTTAAAGGGGTACACCATTTGTTTGTAAGTCGAAAAAAATTTTCGCTCAAATTTTTGAAAACTATATAGCAAAATCTAAAGATATGTGTCTCTTAACATATATGAAAGTTTGAACTAAAATCCAGACCTTAGTTTATTAATGCCAAAACTATTGGATAAACTATGTAAGTTAATGTAAAGCTTTTAAGTTTGTTAGGCTTTTTGGAAGCTGTTTGGAAAGTACTGTATGGATTTAAATGCCAAATTGTAGAGAAATATTTTGCCTACGTGTTCGAAATGTTTCAACTAATAATATCAAGCCATTATCAAGCCAAACACCAAACCTATGACAAAATGCTTAATTAACAAGTAAACTCTATTTTTAATTAACCCTTTTAAAACAAATTTAGTTTGATCAAGAAGATACATAGATATACATAGCATATTTTAGAAATATTTTCAGGTATAATTTACAATGTTTTTTGATAATGAAAATATTGCATATTTCCCCTTCAAATAAACAATAATTATGGAATTAAAGATAGCAACAACCAACAAACCTGAAAAAACACTGGGTATATATTGAATATAAACACCAAACTATATTAATAACACCTTTATGTACATCTTACTTCATCAATATATTACATACAACATGACTGAGTGACGCTTGATACCGCGCATGTCATATTGATACTGCGCATGTCACTCATTAATATTCATGTTACTCGTGAATATTCATATATTAACATATATGACTGAATTGAAAAGGTTATTCATTATGACTTTCAATGAGATTTTTTTTTACATCCAATGACTAAAAAAGATTATTAGTAAGATTTCTAATAGTTTCCTATTCCAGCTTATAAATAATTAAAATAATTTTAAAATATTAAAATATTAAAATATTAAAAATAAGTTCGAACTCCCAAGTTCAACAATAATTTAAATGGAATTTAACAGGACAGGGTTGATTTGAGTCTTGAATATATGTAAATAGTCTTCAAAATACAAGAACTTCCTTGAGTGGCATTTAGTAATTGATGATATTGACACGAACACAATTATATAGATAACAATTACTTTAATAAATAACTTGCGACGTTTCGACGATGATTCTTTCGTCTTTATCAAGCAATGATACAAAATAACAAGGCATTCAGAATATATAGTGTTAGGGTGTATTGAGATGAGTCTCAATGATATAGTGTGAGGCAACAATGACAAGGATTAAAACAATAGGAATACATTAATCAATTATGAAGAAGTAATCACAAGGGTGTGTGATTAGAGAAACCATTAAAGGGATCTAGTAAATTACTTCTTGATTATAATGGTAGGGTGGTAGTCATTATAATCAAACAATACAAGAAATGTAAGAAAATCGCAAAATTTTTTCTAAAATATCTCAAAATAGGAATTTCTCTTTCAAGTTCTATATATGTCTTTTCTATATATTGACAGCGTCTCAAGAAAAGAACGGGGATAATTCTAGGCTTGTCTTAATCTCAAATGACATTTTGTAAACAAATTGTTCTGAAGGACAATATAAAACTAATGGTGTCAGAACTTGCACCTGTAAAAAAAAAACTGAATCTTTTCTGTTGTATTTTGAATATCAGGGGCCTTATTCTGGACTAAACTTATGAAGATTTTAGTGTTCCAATCATCTGATTGGTCAATCACTAAAATTGATTTTAAGCTTAGTTTTATTATCCAATCAGATTATTGTATTTCTTAAAATCTTAATATTATGATATTTAAGTTTTCCAAAACAAGGCCTCTGATCATTAAGTTGGACATTGGTGAAGGAACATTGATTCCTACTTTTTATCTAATAAAATTCTTATCTTTTTTTTTATAGAGTGTACAGAAGGTAAATTTGGACAGAATTGTGACAGTACATGTACATGTGTATCAGCAAATACTAAGTCTTGTAACAAAGAAGATGGTACATGTACTTGTAAAGATGGTTGGGCTGGAGCCACGTGTAATGATAATGTAGACGAATGTCAGCAGACCACCACCTGTAATTCTGTACCAAACTCTAAATGTGAAGACCTTCAAGGATCATTCAACTGTAAATGTAATGCTGGTTATGTAAAAGTAAATGATAAATGTGAAGGTAGGTTATATTTTAGATCTTAAAGGAATATAGGCCATTAAAATATATTTGTTACCATGCTGATAAAACTCAAATTAAACCATCTGTGTCCCTTTCCAGAATGAAACACCTACGTTCAGTCCTTATAGTATAAAAAGAGGAGAATTCATTTAAATCTAACCAGTCAATTCCAAACCAGGATAAACATTGAATATCATACATTTGTAGCTCATTTTTCTTGCTGTGAAAACTGAATTTTTTACTTGCAGTGAAAACTAAATTTTTTACTTGCAGTGAAAACTAAATTTTTTACTTGCAGTGAAAACACAGTTTTTTACTCACAGTAAAAACAAAATTTATTGCTTGCTGTGAAAACAAAATTTATTGCTTGCTGAAGTGAAAAACTAAATTTTTTACTTGCAGTGAAAACAAAAATTTTTACTAGGAGTGAAAACAAATTTTTTTATAAGCAATGAAAACACAGTTTACTTACCAACAGTGGCTTTCAATTTAACTAATATTGGTTTTCTAGATCAAAATGAATGTTTGTCAACCACTCTAAATACTTGCACAGACTCAAATCAAGTTTGCTTTAATACAGTTGGTTCATTTGAATGTAAATGCAAAGAAGGGTATTTAAAAAATGGAGACATGTGTCAAGGTAAAACAAATTTTATTACTATTTATATTGATATCTTTAGGAGTGTGAACACAGAAATATTTCAGAAATGACAGACAATAGATTTTCAATGCACTAAACTTTATTGGTAATTATCAACAACAACAAAGAAACCAGTGCAGTCAGTGCCACCTTCATGGGCAGATTTTTGGATGTCTATTTGAGTCTTGAATATATGTAAATAGTCTTCAGAAGTACTAGAAATGTACAAAAATCGCATGATTCCTTCAAACTATCTCAAACTATGAATTTCTTTTCCTATTTCTATCGAGGCCTTTTCTATATGACAGTGTCTCAGAAAAAGATGATTCATCTTTTTAACTTTAAAATGCCGATAATTCTGACCAACCATGGGTATGAGCGCTCAAATTCTAACGGTGAACTGTGAAAACTATTACTGATTGGCTTAGCCAAACAATTCCTATTTCTGAGACTGAATTATGATTGGTCAAAAAAATGGCGCGTCTGACCCATCCATTTCTATCAAAGATAGACTTATCTCCAACATTCCACCCATCCACATCCTCATCAGACACAAGATACAAGACACAAGATAATGATTTTGAGTTGATTATCAGTCTATATACACAGCTTTATTAGGTTGATAAATGTATAACTCTCAGTATATTGATATATTTGTAGATATTAATGAGTGTATGGTAAATAATAATGGATGTGATGTCAATTGTACCAATACTGATGGTTCATTTTACTGTTCCTGTCTACCAAATCAACAACTTAACACTAGAGACTCCAAATCTTGTTATGGTATGTAATGTATATTTTAATGGTGAGGGCAAACGAACAGTTTTTGGTGCCAACTTGAATTTTGTGTAAAATCTTTCTCATGCCTGCGCTTCCATGACAAGATAATCCTGTCACCAACAAAATTTTGAACATCAAACCAGTTTGATATTTTTTGACAATTGTTTTCTTCGTGTGACTGCACTCATGATGAAACAAAACTCCACAAAGTGTCATCAGCCATTCCAGATTTATTCCAGATGTCTCCTTGTGTGCCCAAAGCTGGTAGGTGAGACTCCAGCCTGCAACAAAAATTAATTTCTAACTATGTGTTTAACTGTTATCAGGTTTTGGTGGTGGCTTCAGCAGGCCCAGGGTTTTCAGGGTGGCGGACAAATTTTTGAAGGGGAGCTCAACTATAGCGACTCAACAAGTCATTTAAGTCATCTAAATTTTTTAGGGGGTACCAAAATTTTCTTAGTGGCTGTCTGGCCCCACCTGGCCCCCTCTAGCTATGGTCCTGAGCTGCAGTGTCTTAGCAATGACCTGGTTTTCCTGTTGATCCAATCCAAAATTTATAATTTGTCATGAAGCTGACTAAATACATTTCAGCAATAGCAGATGAAAAGAAAGAAACCTATGAAATAAGATTTGATATCAACAGAGATAATATTTTGAACAATCCTTATAGTTTTGCTTTTAGAAAACTTAAAAAAGATATTGGAGATGCTGTAAGTGTACTCTTTAAGAGCTCTTTTTAGTAGTTGCTTTAACCCTTTCAACCCTAGACTGCGTTTAATGGATCTGCCCCAGTAAATCGGCTGTCATCAAGTGACGTCACCTAACGTTAACGTTGGGATTTCATATTATATATTTAGGTAATATCAAAATTGTCAACCACTTATGTCGAAGAGTTTATTTTTCATCTAGGGATGATAGATCAATAATGATTTTTTCTTGTCATTTATTAAATGATAATATAGACAACGAGGAACCAGTTGGTTGGTGCTGTATTGAAGTAGGACATCTCAGTAGCAACTGTTATATAGACTTGTGTTCACTTATCTATAGTTCTACTTTTCTGGGCATAGAATGATGTTAAATTTGACTAGCACCTATTCCAAAAATAGAATACTGACAATGACCTGACCAAAGAGGAAATCTAGATGACTTTCAATACATTTTGTACGTTTTTTAACTATAGAAATCAAGCAATTTATTGTTGTTTTATTCGTACTGTACATCGCAAGGAATCAATTAATTTGGAATAACCAGACGTATATCGTCATTGATGCTTGATAGTAGCTTACATGATACACGATTCCTAGTATACATTGCGGAATACTACTTTTCACAATTTTCGCAAGAATTAGCTGAGCGAAATAAAAAAAACCTGCTGTTTCTCAGATATGCTTAACGATGAAAAATTTTCGAAAATATTGTTAAAAAGCAAATTCAATTTCACTGTATAATATGTATAGCATATCTTAGTGTGAATTTTATGGATTCTAATAGGAGCTAGTAAAGACGTCAAGGTAGCTATTTTGCTTTTTTAGACTTTCAAACGCCCTACAAGTACTGTTACTAAGGTAGCAGACGACAAACTGGCGTGTCCTTCTTCACTTCATCAATACTTCTTCACCTAGTGTCTCACTCAATGATTCCAGTACCTCATTAATGAAAGCCTTTCTATCTAACTCATGACATGTATCTTATATTTGATAGGTGTTGAAATATCTTCAGACTATTCCCAATTCAGCTGTGGTAGATGTCAACGTTACCAACTTGAGGTAATAAAATATCTTTATTTATGTCATAATGAACACAATATAGTTCAATTACCATTACTATTTATTCCAACTGAAAAATAAAAAGTGATCTTGATTTTAGTTTTAGGTAGTTTATATCATAATGAACACAGTATAGTTCAATTACCATTACTATTTATTCCAACTGAAAAATTAAAAGTGATCTTGATTTTAGTTTTAGTTAGTTTATGTTATAATGAACACAGTATAGTTCAATTACCATTACTATTTATTCAAACTGAAAAATAAAAAGTTATCTTGATTTTAGTTTTAGGTAGTTTATATCATAATGAACACAGTATAGTTCAATTACCATTACTATTTATTCAAACTGAAAAATAAACAGTGATCTTGATTTTAGTTTTAGGTAGTTTATATCATAATGAACACAGTCTAGTTCAATTACCATTACTATTTATTCAAACTGAAAAATAAAAAGTTATCTTGATTTTAGTTTTAGGTAGTTTATATCATAATGAACACAGTATAGTTCAATTACCATTACTATTTATTCAAACTGAAAAATAAAAAGTGATCTTGATTTTAGTTTTAGGTAGTTTATATCATAATGAACACAGTATAGTTCAATTACCATTACTATTTATTCAAACTGAAAAATAAAAAGTGATCTTGATTTTAGTTTTAGGTAGTATTACTATTTATTCCAACTGAAAAATAAAAAGTGATCTTGATTTTAGTTTTAGGTAGTTTATATCATAATGAACACAGTATAGTTCAATTACCATTACTATTTATTCCAACTGAAAAATAAAAAGTGATCTTGATTTTAGTTTTAGGTAGTTTATATCATAATGAACACAGTATAGTTCAATTACCATTACTATTTATTCCAACTGAAAAATAAAAAGTGATCTTGATTTTAGTTTTAGGTAGTTTATATCATAATGAACACAGTATAGTTCAATTACCATTACTATTTATTCCAACTGAAAAATAATAAAACAGTGCTCATGTTTATGTTTTGATTAAGATCTGGATAAACTACAATTATTATTTTTAGCTAATCATAAATTTGTTATTGTTGTTTCTGCCAACTGGATTTTAACAGATAAAATATAAACATAATATTCAGAATTGAAAAGAAAAAGAAAAAAATATAAAATGAAACTAGAAGAACTTAGATTCATATTATTTTCTGTTAAGCCTTTGGCTTTCACATGTATAAACAGCAATATTATGACGAAGGTCAAGGTTAGCACTTCCTCCAAGAAAAAAAAACAGAAAAGGGTCACAGTTCATGACATGTTGCTACCCACTTGGATGAGGGGACATTTTGTTCATTGATATTAAAACTAGCTAAAAATGGACTTCTTTTGTTTATACCTGAATCTACTTGTATGAGCACAAATATATTTTTTAACCTTTTTGTTTTTTTGACAAGAACTTATCTTTAGAATGGCAGGATGTAAAACTCCCATTTCATTTTCTTGTAGTAAAGGAAGTGTTATTGCGGAAATGGATGTAATAGCCCTAAAGTTCCAGTCCATGAATGCAAGTGTTTTATCAAAACAGTTCTATGATTTATTACAAGGACAAGAACTAGAAATTGATGGTACCAACACCAAAGTTGTGGGAATTACTAAAGATGGCACCACATGTTAGTATTATATGTTTATTTTTTTTCTATGGCCTTCCAATAAATTTATCTCATCTTGAGGTGGGATCAGGCGGCTATGGGTTCTTTCACTGTAGTATATTTCACTTTAAGAAATAATCATGTATTATTTGAACAGCCTACAGATCTCAATTTCAGTCAACTGTAGTATTCTACACATGGAAGGCTGATGTCTGG